AAACAGAACACACAAATAAAAAGCATTGCTTATGTCAATATCACAGTACAACCCTGAGCAAGAATTTTCTGAAGTATTTCTTGAAGAATTTTGTTCATGATGAGGGATGTTACATAATAGAAGGTGCAAAAGCCCTCTTTGAAACTAGGTGGGATTTTCAACTGGTTGGGCGAAGAAGAGTGTTTGATTGAGATTATGGACCGTTTAAGCCTCTTAGATTTTAGTCCTTTCAGTTTTTAGCCTAGCCCTGGAGCAAAGGTTTATAAACAGCCTTGCTCATGGAGCAACCTCAGGTGCCTCCTTAAGAGAAAGAAATGGGGAGGCTCTGAAATCAATGCCTAAGGCAAAAAAACACGTGTAATCAAGATTATCCTTGGAAAGCATTTAAATCATACTTAAGCTCAAAAGTCAACAGTTAGCCAAAAGAATGGAAAAGATATATGCACATCCATGTTCATGGCAATACTATTCACAATAGCCAAGGGGTGGAAGCAACCCAATTGTCCACTGTTGGATGAATGAATAAACAAAATGTAGTATATACATGTTACGGAATATTTTCAGCCTTAAAAAGGAAGGAAATTCTGGCATACGCTGTAACATGGATAGACCTGAGGACATTATGCTAAGTGAAATAAGCCAGTCATGAAAATACAAATACTGTATGATTCCACTTATATGTGTAGTCAAATTCATAGAGACAGAAGGTAGAATGGTGCCAGGGGAAGGAGGGAATGGGGAGTTGTTGTTTATTGGGTAAAGCATTTCAGTTTTACAATATGAAAAAACTTTCTGGAGATTGGTTGCACAACAATGTAAATATACTTAACATTCCTGACCTGTACACTTAAAAATGGTTAAGATGGTGAATTTTATGTTATGTATATTTTACCACAATTTAAAAAGTCCACAATTAGCTTTTTTTTTTGAAATGAGGTTTCACTCTGTCTCCCAGGCTAGTGTGTAGTGGCACAATCATGGCTCACTGCAGCCTTCAACTCCTGGGCTCAAGCAACCTTCCCACCTCAGTCTCCCAAGTAGCTGGGACTACATGCATGCCACCATGCCCAGCCAATTTTGCTTATTTTTTGTAGATATAGGGTCTCACTATATTGCCCAGGCTGGAATGATTAGCTTCTTGTGTTTATCTTTGTGCATTTAACTTATAGAAATTCAACTACAGGCAAGTGCCACTTATTTAGCCCTGACCTTCCTGCTTCCTCCCCATTCAAACCAGACTTTTGCCCCTATCATCCCTAGAGAAGGGGATTAACCTTTTCCTCTTATTTTTTCCCTTTTGGCCAAGCACATACATATATATATATATATATATATATTATTATTGATACAAGCATCTATATTTGAATTCATATACAAGATGGTGCTCTACCATATCTCTCATTCTTACTAGTCATATTTTATAGTTGAGTAAAGAAGATCCTGCTGAGAAATAAGAAGAATGGTTTGATTCCTAGACCACACTCAGTACTTAGATGTCACAGAAAATACTTTATTCACCCACCGAAGAAGTAAATTATAAGAGCTCCTACACTTCTACTTTTGAGCCAGCAATACACAAAAACTGTATTTGCACTAACTCAGAATATATGATGTTTTGGGTGGAGCTGAATAAAAATTGCATTTGCATTACCCGTGAAGAAGGGGTTTCTAAGCAATGTAGTAGTAATGGCTTAAACAAAAAGGCAGAGAGCACTGATCAATCTTTGAGAACCTAACCCTGATTCTTGGAAATTTTGTTTCACAGACAACTAATATCCTATCATCTTTATATAAAAATGAATCTTTCATACCTCTAAAGAACACTTTTAAACAACAAATTGTTAGCTCCATTTAAGTTATATACAGTTGAAAGAAAAATGGAGTTTCACACACTGTGCATGTTTGTATCTCCTCAAAGCACCCAGCAGTGCTTTCCCCCCAGGAAGTAGTCAATAAATGGTTATTGAATTTAGAATGCCCTTCCTTCCAATCAGTGAGGTTTAATATATTTCCAATTCAGAATGCCTATTAATTTTTCAGCATTATTAAGCCTTTAAAAAAATCAATTTGGGGATGTGTTTGAGAGTTCATAGCAAATACTATTATATAATAATTAAAAGGAAATTGTTAAATGAAGCATGCTTATTCAACACACAAATAGCCATTGATAAAATGTAATTTAATTTAATCATTTCAATTTACATTGTTAATGTACAAGAGCATATCTTTCAAACCACAAGTTAACACACACTAAAGACCAATGCTGTTAGAGGAGCAGAGAAACTTTGGAAAACTCTGCTGTCTGAAATAAAAGCAAGGCACTCTCCATTAACAGCTGGTGGATTCCTGATTTCCGCCCACAGAAGGCATGTTCACACTGAGAGAGCTCTCCCACTAGGGGAAGAATTACCTGCTTTAATACTTGTTGTCCTCTTCTGAGCTAGTGTGGTCATCCACTTTATATAAACTTATGTGCAACATTAAGACAAAAAAAGAGTTGAATTGATAGATGACTTGTGAGGCCCTCATAGTTGTAATAACTATGGAAGACAGAAGAACATACTATGATCTTTATTTTCAGGACTAGTGTCTGGACCTATTACTAAAAAAGCTTCTTCATTCCTCCCAACCAACAGATATGATGACTAAAAAGTCTTTTCCTTAAATCTTATGAGTGTAAAAATAAAAAGTAACAGCATTTCTCTAGGGCTCTGCTTTTTTTTTTGTTTTGTTTTACTCTTCCTTTACAGAGATGACAAAAACAAGGATTAACTTTCCAAATACTAATGGTGCACAAGGAGGTTATGTATGCACAGTATTTCTAATTTATTCAAATTCAATTTGAATTTGGTCTGAAGCTATCTTGCATGAAATGTTAACTTTCCTGATATTTAATAACGTTTATTATGTTTGCATATAAGCTCAAAAAATTAATGCAAAAGTACTACTTTACTCATGGTTATCTTCAGGTAAAATGTAAATATTAGTGGTTATGTTTAAAAGCCTGATTTCCTACAGATGCAGTAAGTTGAAGAAAAAAAAAAAGACTATGGAAAGGTGAATTAGGTCTTAATCTTGATTCTGTTACTAGCTGTTTCACCTTGAGTAACTCTTTACCCTTCAATAGGCTCCAGTGTTCTCCTTCATGAATTTCAGGAGGTTGGACTAGTTGACAAGTCAGGCCCCTTCCAAGTCTAACATTTCAAAATCCTAACATTCCAGGTCCTATAATCTTGATATAAAAATAATAATCTTTCATAAAAGCTCAAACAAAACATAATACATGATCAAATATCAGAATGACTCCTGGAAAAAAAAAAGTACATGATTTCCTATCTGGGTTATACTTTGCAGCAATTAGGCAATTCATTTGGCATTTGTTTGATTGTATAATTTAATGACAATATAAACAGCATAGTTTTGTAATTTTTCCTTTAAAAAGACTAAAGCAAAAATGATTTAAAGCTAACAAAAACTACTGTGACATCAGTTTGACATTCAAAGTTTGTTTCTTAGCAAAATGTCCAAAGATATTTTGACTTGATACAGAGTATATAATATAAAGACTCTTAGACCTAAAAATCTTCAAACATTATTCGAATTTAGCAAAACATAAGCAAAATTTTAATATCAAAGTGCTAAACAGTACTGCCTTAAAAGTCACTGCAAATGAACCATAAAATAACGGCATGGGAAGTGACATTTATTGTACAAATGGTTAATAAAAAGACACATTATAAATATATATGTAACCTGCTATATTTATATATATATATATTTGCTTATTTAATTTCTAAGTGGTGTACCCAAATCACTGTGAACACCCCATTTAATTACTCTGTAATTCAGCTTCCAGGAGCTGGTGGTCTTGCAATAAATACAGGCAAAGCTATTACAATATAACGTGCATACAAATGTTTATACAAATAAGGACACACTATGCAACAAATTATCTCATAATAATATGGCATTAACAGTATAAACATACAAAAGGGAGTACGAACACGGAATGTTGAAACGCAGCCCACTAATCCTTTCTAGTACTCACATTCATACTATTTTTTTAAAAGGACTTGCTTGCTCTCCAGAATTGTCTCTTTAATCAATAACAAAAATTAAATTATATATATAAAAATCCTTACTGTCCCAGGTGCTTACCCTGTATGACCCAATTCCTACTTATTTGCATGTTCTCAGCTCAGAATCAAATACTTGACTGACTTACCAAACATTCCTGGGGCTTCTGCATGAATATATCAGTCAGTTGCTACAATTGAAGCAAGATTAGGGGACTCTTGGTGGGGTTGATAGAATACAACCAAACAGTTGTATGTAATCCATTTTTTAATCTGATCCCCCTTCAGGACAACTGGACATTCAAGGCAGTGATCTGGTTCCATCAAGAATAGCCTAAAAGTCTTGGATGGGCCATACCTCAGAAGGGTTCTACAGGGCAGGTGAACCAAGCCTCTGCTAGGAAAATTAGTATGTGTCGTTTGCTAACATGACTGCCTCCTTTTTATTTTCATATAAAATAAAGGAGTTAATAAACATGACTAAGACAACACTTCTAAAAATTGCACTTGAATATGGAAGCAAACGGCCATTATTGTTTTGCTGTGTCTGATTTGTAGGTAATCCTCCATCTCTCACCATTTGTTAAAGGAAGAAAGAAATTAAGAAAAGGGAATTTCTGCCTTGTTTGCACTACATATATACCTTTGATACAGGAAGCATATTTTAAAGGGATCAATATTAAGACACATCCTACCCTGGCGAACAACCCTTGGCTGTTCTTGTTTTTAAATACAAAGCAACTATAATTGTATTCCCCAGAAAGAGTTTTAAAACAGTTATATCCTTTATTTTTTCCTGCTGGGATAGCATCGTCCAAAAGTGCTCTGTTAGCAATTTATTAGAAAACGCTCATGAACTATCCCTCCCTACCACCCCAGCCCCCAAAGCCTAAATATAAAACACAACCCCAACACAATACGCTGCAAGTTTTCTGGCTTTAGGTTGTAAGGAAAAGAGCCAGAAAAAAAAAGTCTTTGCTTTCTACAGGAGCTGCTTTTTCCCTTAAGGAAAGACAGGAACTGGTAGGTGTCCAGACCCATCCATTTGCTGCTTAGCAAGCAGGTGCTAGCAGATGAGGCGGCTCCCTGCCCAGGCTGCTCCTGGTTAGAAGGGTAGGGTGTCTTGGAAGAGCTTTTCAATGATCATAGGTGGAGGCACCAAGTCTTCCAGCTTTAGGTAGAAGATGCGCTGGAGACCCAGGGTGGAGATCTTCTTCAGTTCTACCAGGGCACCCAGGACCTTGGGCTCGGTGGGCTCCAAAGCCTGTCCCTTATTCTGGTGATCTTTTAAGCTGCTTGTGATCTTGTTGCATAGCTCCTCCACTCTCTTTGGTTCTTTTAACCCATGTCGTTCTGCAGATGAATAGAAAAGGGCAAGTTTAGGAGAGACGCACCTTAAGACACTTCAATCCTTAATTGAGGTCTATGTCCTGTTCTGCCAGCTGGGATGGCATTTTACAATCAAAGTGCCCTCCCTCTTAGAGGTAGTTCATTTCATGGCTGTTGGTATCAAATAACACCAGGGTTAGAATCCCAGTCCTGCCACTTACTTGCTATGTGCCCTTGAGTAAGTCTCTTAACTTCTGAGCCCCAATTTCCTTACGAGATGAAGATGATGATCATACCCAGCTTAGGGTTTCTGGGAGGACCAACTTAGGTGGATAACACAGGTGAAGCCCAGTTCCTGGTACTTAGCTGCACTGAATGAATGGCAGCGTGGTTACTATTTTGTACCCATTATCCTACTAAGCTCTCTGCCCCATCAGAAGGCAACTCTTTTTCAGAATGGCATGGAAACACGTCCAGGCAGCTGAATTAATGTTCCCATCTTGACAGACTTGCTTAAGGGAGGTGGGGAGGCTGTACATTTTATTTGCTAGTGCAAAAGCTGCCCAACAAGACCCAATATAAAGTGCATTCTTGTGTTTTCATGATAATCAGCACTGAGGAGAATCCAGCTTTTCTTTTCCTTGTTTTTCCCCCCTTTGAAACACCTATTGACTACACCTGGCACTCAGTACGAAATACACATGTTCTCCTGCTGTGGAGATGGCAAAGTCAAAGAGAAGGGGAAGAGGCCCAGAAGGATGTGGAGCAGGCATTTTATAAGGTATCAATACATGAATACAGGTAGCTTATATTTTACAAAACAATATATAAAATGATGCCCATGTTAAATATTATGGTCTATTTTATGTATAAGGGTAAATGATTTTCCCAAAGTCACAAAGCTGCTAAAAGCTGGAATTTGGGCCAGTGCAGTGGCTCAGGCCTGTAATCCCAGCACTTCGGGGGCCAAGGCAGGAGGATCACTTGAGGTCAGGAGTTCGAGACCAGCCTGGGCAACATAGTGAGATGTCTCAAAAAAAATTTAAAGAAAATGAACCACGCATGGTGGCACGTGCCCTTCGTCCCAGCTACTCGAGAGGCTGAGGCAGGAGGATTGCTTAAACTCAGGAGTTCAAGGCTGCAGTGAGCTATGATTATACTACTGCACTCTAGCCTGGGCAAGAGAGCAAGACCCTGTCTCAAAAAAAAAAAAAAAAAGCTGGAATTTGAATCCAATCTTCTGAGGCACATTCTGGCCTCTTGTTCAGAGCAATGTTGCATCTCCCTGTAATGAGAAAGGAGTCTAACCTCCAATACAAATTACTTTGCTTTCCCTCGGCATTTAGATAGCAGAGCCTCTTCTCTAAGGGAAGAGCTTGGCCCCAGTTATTTCAACGTTTTTCTCTCAGTACATTTACATGTAAAATCATAATCCTTGAGAGATGGAACACATCCTTCTAATGGGAAATCAAGCATTTGTTTCTAAATTTTACTAAATTTATTTTTTTTAGTTGAAGATATTTTTGTTAGAAAAGTTATTTGCTTGAAGCAAAAGCCAATCAGAAAAGCGAAGCAATTATCCAGACATTTTCCTCTTTTCTCGTCTCAAATAAAAGAGGTCTGGATCCAGGAAATCTATATCGTCCTCAGTTCGGCTAGTTGTGTAAGACTTGGGCAAGTTCTTCCCTCCCTAGGGCCCTGTAAAAGGAGGAAGTTGGATTTAATGACCTCTAAGGTCCCATTCAGCTCTGATGTGTTATAATTACATTATAGGACAACCATGAACATTGCCAGCAGTATCTCAGTGGATTGTAACTGGCAGGCATCTCATCTCAGTGCAACATTCTATAGGGAAAAGGGCACTGGACTTGGAGTCAGACAGACCTGAGTTCCGGTTCTGGTTCTATCGCTTCCTAGCCAGGTACCCTAATCTCTGTAAGGTTCAATGTCTTCATAGAAAAATGGGAATTATTGGGTGGCAGATACACACTTCTTAGTTCTATTCATCCTGTGTATCTTAAATATTGCACAATAAATTAAAAGAAAAAGTATGATTATAATAAAATCCACTTGCCTGGGATGTTGTGAGGCTAAACTAAGACGATGTTATGGAAAAATGTTCTGTCGACTGCAGAGTACTACACACATGGTATAGTCAGCACCTAAGACAATGCCTGACACTTGGCAAGTGGCTGGTAACTACAATGTCTAACAAAAGGCAGTAAAGTCTCCTAATTCCCAGGCTCTGCAGTGCATGATTTTGCTTTCCCCAGGAAACTATTAGCTAATCAGCCCAGGTGCAAACCTGTCTCCTAGGGCTTATCTTTACAAAATACATTGTCCCCGTGTTTCAGTCTCAGAGGAAGCACCCAAGAGTGAACTTTAAGAGAAATTCTGCCTGCACTGGTGTTCCGCCTAAAGTTTTATTTTTCCCCCAAAAGCAAAAAAGCAGGCTGCAAATTTGGCAGCAAATTTCAAGAGCTATAAAACGTTCATAGCCTCTGACAAGTAATCCCATTCTCGGGAATTTATCCAAAGGAAAAATTTAACAGAAGAATAAACTGTATGCATGGAGACATTTGGTATATTACCAAAAGAAATCCCCTCCCCACCACAAATGAAACAAACAAACAAAAAACTGGAAAAAGGTAAAGGGTTGAAGAATAGGGCAATTGTTAAGTAAATGATGGTACATCCAAATAATGGAAGATTCTGTAGATATCAAAAAAGACAAATATGAAGGCTATGAAGCAACATGGAAAGTATTTACAACATTAAATAAAGAGTAGAATATTAAATCGTATCTAAGATGTGATTACATCTATGCAAAAATTATTTCTGCATATAGAGAAGGATGAAAGAACACCAAAAAAGGGAAAATACTTATGGGGTTGTTGGATAACTTTTGTCCTTTCTCTTAAAATTTCCAGGTTAGTGCTGTTTGTATAATAATGTTAAAATAGTACAAGACAGATTTGGTCTTTTGTGAAGCCCTCTACTAGCTATAACATGACCAAACATCATCTTGCTAATACTAAATTCTATTAATACTGAGATGTATCAAGTTAGATTCATAACCTAGGGAGAGATGCTTTTCTCAGAATAAAATACCAATCCATTGATTTAAGCTTTCCGTTCCTTTCAGTGTCTCATATCTCACATTATATTCAAGATCCCATATTCATTATTAGGATAAAGAAACTGAACAGTATGTTGGCTGGATTTCGGGAGGTGGCTGATTGCGGAACCTTGTAACCAGACTTTCTCATGGCCAAACTCACAGAAGGTGCCGTGGAGTTTTCCCTGCTCTCCAACCAGTTGCGACTGCTCAATAACTATGGCAACCATTATTTATTCAGTGAATTCAAGTGGAGATCGATACCTCCTGCCAGCTGGATCAACTCTAGGCCTGGAATTCCTTGAGGAATTCAGAGACACTCCTGTTAGAAGCCAAAGGCACCTCAACCCTTCTTTGTTGTTTTGAACAGCCACTGGATTTGTAGCTTCTTTACTTTTTCAAAAGGGCTGAGATAAAATTCAGTCTCCATGCAAACTACTGCCAGCAGCCAGCAAGATTTTCAAATCACTAGGGAGTCACTAAGTGTCTGGGACCTTCCCAGTAATTTGAAATTCCTTAAAACCCAATCACTGACATTTTAGTTGAAGGGATCTCCTTTCTTCTTACAGCTTGGTAAACATGGCTGCGGAGCTGACATACAGAGAGTTCATAAATTCTGGGGAAAATCAGACATTTGAATTATCCCCCTTTCTAGAGAATTATACACAGAGGATTTTAGTTTAAGGTCTTTGTCCACCACTAAATGAAACAAGCTTCTTGGTATTTCTTGCATGTTGATCTACATAATTTTTATCTAATACTTTAGTATTTTAACTCAGGCATTATATATTCAAAACTTTTAAGTACAACTTACAGAAATGGTGAAGTAATAGATCTATGTGTCATAATCATTGTATACATGAATTGGAAGAGATTTGAGTCATTTAGTTCAAATGCCCACCTAAGACAAGAAATCTCCACAACAAGGTGATACAAAGAGACTGTCAGGCACCAGCTGGATTGGGAGTTAACTACTTTACCTTAATAATAAAAACATATTTAGTAGCACTTTCTATTATGCTCTTTTACTTAGATTATTTTATCTCACTCTCACAACAACCCTGTAAATTAGTCAGGACAATGATTACCTTTAATTAATAGATAAGAAGGCTAAGGCTCAGAGAGTTAAGTAACTTGCCCATAGTCAAAATTAGCAGGTGGCTAATTTCTTTCACTCCAAGTCCAGAGATATTTCTATTATACTAGGCTGCCTTCCATCTCTGAATGTGTCTAATTGTTTCAGAGTTTCTCCTCATCCTAAGATGAACTAGCCTCCCTATAACTCCCTCCTACCTTCTGTGTACCTAATTATCTAATTGATTAATTACTTCTTTCAACAAATATTTATTGAGTACCTATTCCACGGCAAGCAATGTTATAGCCACTAGGGTTAGAGCAGTGAACAAAGCCGGCAGACGACAGATCATACTCCTAACCTGTGTGTGCTATTAACATCTAAAGACACTGATTGCTGTGCATTTTAGCTATCCATGCCATAGGTCTCTGCGGAAGGTGAGAGGAAGGGAAGGAGAGAGGAGAAGGGAGGAGAGGAGGAGGGAAGGGGAGAGGAGGAGCAGAGGGGAGGCAGGGAAAAGGGAGAGATTGATTGAATGAAATAATAGTGCTATTTAGGTCTGTATTCATGTTTTTCCATCTTCATCTGGTTAAGATCTACTCATCCCTTAGATCTCAGATCAAATATTTCTTCAAGGAAGCTTCCCCTTTTAGCCCCTGTCTAGATCATGTTCTTCCTATGGCACTCTACTCTGTCCCTTCGCAGGACATAACAGTTCGAAATCAGATATTTAGGTGATGATTGCCTGCCTCTTCCATTAAATGTAAGCTCCATGGGGGTGTGGACTGCATTTGCTCAACATTGTATCTCCAGCACCAAGCCTAGTACATA